ACATGAAGCTAGACACACACACACATGAAGCTACAGACACACACATGTGCAGCTACAGACACACACATGTGCAGCTACAGACACACACATACATGCAGCTACAGACACACACACACATGAAGCTACACACATGTGCAGCTAGACACACACATGTGCAGCTACAGACACACACACGTGCAGCTACAGACACACACACGTGCAGCTACAGACACACACACGTGCAGCTACAGACACACACACGTGCAGCTACAGACACACGCGTGCAGGTTCCAGACCGAGTGCCGGGATGGTGACTCACCCGGATAGGCAGGGATCTGCTTCCAAGATAGACCGGTAGCCATTCATAAAACAAAATATTGGGAGGGGGGAGACAATAAATAAATAAATAAATAAATAAATAATCTCTAAATAAGAACATAAGAAATTTACAAACGAGAGGAGGCCATTCAGTCCATCAAGCTCGTTTGGGGAGAACTTAACTAATAGTTCAGAGCTGTTAAAATCTTATCTAGCTCTGATTTAAAGGAACCCAGGGTTTTAGCCTGCACTACATGAACAGGAAGACTATTCCATATTCTAACCACACGCTGTGTAAAGAAGTGTTTCCTGAAATACATTTTAAAATGTTCTCCCGCTAATTTCCACTTATGGCCACGAGTTCTAGTATTTAAAGTAATATTGAAATAGCCATTTGGCTGAAAAGCCTCCAGACCTGTTAGAATCTTATATACCTGGATCATGTCCCCCCTTAGTCTCCTTTGCTCAAGGCTAAACAGATTCAGCTCAGCTAACCTCTCCTCATAAGACATTCCTCTAAGACCAGGAATCATTCTCGTAGCTCTACGTTGCACCTTTTCCAAGGCAGCAATGTCCTTTTTAATGTATGGTGACCAAACCTGCACACAATATTCTAGGTGGGGTCTTACCAAGGAATTGTACAATCGTAGCATCACCTCCCTTGACTTAAACTCCACACACCTAGAGATGTAACCTAACATCCTATTGGCCTTTTTAATTGCTTCCCCACACCGGCGAGAGTGGGACATGGAAGCATCAACATACACACCGAGGACTTTCTCGTAATCAGCTACCTTTATTTCAGTGGAACCCATAAAATATCTGAACTTTATATTTCTGCTCCCTGCATAGATTACCTTACATTTATCTGTTAAATTTCATCTTCCAGGTATCAGCCCAGTCGCTAATTAAATCCAGATCCCGTTGTAGCCTCTCTGCTGCTAGATCAGTATCTGCTACACCACCCACCTTGGTGTCGTCTGCAAATTTAACCAGTTTACTGTAACTATTGGTGTCAATATCAGTAATGTAAATTAGGAACAATAGTGGTCCTAAAATTGAACCCTGCGGTACCCCACTATGAACGCAGGCCCACTGTGACATTGTGCCACTAATAACTACTCGCTGCTTCCTGTCTGCTAACCAGTTTTCGAACCAAGCTGCTACAGTTCCTAAAATCCCTGCAGCTTTGAGCTGTTTGTGGGGGACAACATCAAAGGCCTTCTGGAAATCTAAGTGGATCACATCGTAGGCCTTTTTGTGATCAATTTCTCTTGTAGCATCCTCAAAGAACTCAAGTAAATTAGCTACACGGGATCTACCTCTCCTAAATCCATGTTGGCTATCCCTCAGAATGTTAAATACATACTAATAGTGATTTCTTAAACAATATGTATGCAGGCAAGAGCAGTACAGTGAGACTGTGTTTCACTACATATCCGTTCATATTCCATTGATATTCAAGTAACGAGTGATGGTGTGAAAGGAGTGGCCAATGAAATGGCCTATTGACCAAAAGGCATTGGGTTCAAACAATCTGAGGCCATTTGCTTATTTTGGAATATTCACTTCAGTTCAGTTCAATTCAATTCAATTCAATTCAATTCAATTCATATAGTGAATTTTCACATTCCATTGTCTCAAAGCGCATTACATGGTCTGAAAGCAGGGAGCCCATCCTCCAGGGGCTGGCAAAGGAATTCAAATGAACAAGATGGCTAAATCACAATTTTAGCATAATTTATACAGTTCAAATTTTAAGATTTGGGTCTCAATGTGGAGAGCAGGCTGGTGCTGGTGCTGCTCCTGATTGTGTTCAAACATGCAACCCTCTTCAAACTACTTCCAAAAAAGGGGAGGCATCAGCATTGCGCACACGCAGGATGGGATGCCAGCCCATCACAGGGCACAAGGCTGGGCTACAGGCAGGGTGGGATGCCAGTATATCACTGGGGACACACTGAGAATCACATTCTTTGTTCAATTTAGAGACGCCAATACATGTAACTACTCCCAACGCTGTACCGTACACTGCACCATGCCAACATTATTGTTGTTAAACGATAATCCATTTTGCTGCGCTGATTAAATAGATAGAATAATACATGTTATTAATGTTACGCTCATCTGAAGCACTCTGGAGCAGCTCCTCGTGGGACCATGAGGGCCGTTTCTGCTCCAGCTGGGAACCCTGGTGATCGTGGTAAGTGAACCATATGACTCCCTCGTCCACCATGAACACACTCTCATTGGCTCTGGCATTTCCAAATACTGCAGGAGAGCAGACTGAGGAACGCCAAGCCCACACATGTTGGTTACTGAGGAGCTGGTTTGGTTATCAGAAAGAATGGCTAAGGCTGTTACCATAGAGACCCTCCCAGCCACGCTGGCCTGAGATGGGATCAGCAGGAGAGCCTGTACAGAAAGCATCCAATCACAGCGCTGCTCCGCCAGTCCACCTACTGGTAAGTCAGCCCTTCATGACATTCAAATGGAGGTACAAAGGCTATATTGCACACATTCAGAGAGAGACATAAAATATAAGAAACGGGATGAACTGACTAGCATAAAAGACTAACATTAACTAAAGCGATTATATGATGTATATTATTACCATACCGAGCCTAAAAGCTCATCTTAACAACAGAGTTTTATTAATTCATACTGTTAAATCACATTTAAATTTCTGCCACCTGCCACTGATTTGTTGGCTGAAGAACAGCATTACTCGGTGGAATTACATCCTCTTAGGTGCAGTTCCAATAAAGCGCCATCTTGTGGACACATGTGCACCATGCATTAGGGCGCCCGAAGTAATGCGCCATTGCCTGCTACGAGATCTACGGCCGTGGTCTGCTTCAGTGCTAAGTACAGGCGAGGTAATTCAAGTGTCCTTAAGTAACCACATGGGGATACAGCTGTGAAACGCGAAACCGGCCTATTCTTGAAACAACAGAAAGAAAAACAATTGCAGTAGGTCATTCACGCTATTGCCTGGAAGTACGCCCAATACAACAGTCTAGGCCTATATACTGTACGTCTAAACTGGCGCCCAGTCCCGGCTCATCCCTGCCTTGCGTGCGTTGCTTCCGGGACAGGAGAGTTACAGAAAACGGATGGATGGATGGAATACATCTAAACTACAGAGGCACAAAAATCTGCTAAAAGTAGGGAACTCACTTGCAGCTCCCGAGCGTGATCTGCCAAGCTGTCGTACCAGCCGTCATAACGCTGCACCACTCATGTAATGATTGAATGCCAGCCAATGTTTTGTTAGACTCATCTGCCGGCCCCTGGAGGATGGGCTCCCCCTTTGGGTCTGGTTCCTCCCAAGGTTTCTTCCTCTTAGGGAGTTTTTCCTTGCCACCGTTGCCTTTGGCTTACTCACTAGGGGGTCCTTACGAGGCAGAAATGTAAAGCACATTGAGACAATGTAATGTTGTGATAATGCGCTATATAAATAAAATTGAATTGAATTGAATTGAATGGGGTGGTATATAAAAACAACAAAATGTCCGAATCTCCTTCAATCTGAACGAATTTGAACGTGTGCATTTTAGGTAATTAGTATTATACGTCGTTTTGTCAAGAATGCCAACGCAGTAGTATATTAGCTTTAATCATGTCGCACAGCTATGAAAAAGACCACGCCGGTTATACTTACTTGTGAGATTTATATCATATTTCACTGATACCACTACAGACAGTTTAAGACGTCTTTTCTGCGTAAATCCAACCTTGCAGAATAAAACAGTCAATATGGGTTCTTTCAGAACAATCCTGAGACACTTTCACTCCACTTGTCCTGGGAAGACAATGGAAACACCCCAGACCTCAGATTTCTCAGACACTGATTAGTCTCAATTGATGTTTGAATAATGTTTAAATTGTGTATAAATTTTAAATAACTTGAATACGAAGGTCTAACATTTACTGAGTATTTTTCTGCGTAAAAACAATTATAAGTAGGGCAGATTTGTCTAAGCAGCTGAAGAATGCAGACCACTTTGTCTGAAAGGTAACAGGTGGTAAGTGCACTGTTAGAATGGCAAGTTAAAAATCAACTTCTCAATGGCTTTTAAATTATTAAACATACAATGCAATTAAATGTAAAAACTCACCTGAAACTTACGAATTTATAGCTGAGTGGTTGTACAAAGCGTGTTTACCTGCGATAGTGGTTATATATGTATGGAAATAAAGTTAAGCGAGTCCATCCGTATGCAGTAATAAGGAGGAGAGGCGGACCTTCGCCCAGAGGATGGTCTCTTCTGATTCACGTGTTGCTTTGCTCAGGAACTACAATGGATTTTTTAGGCATTTATAGGCATGTCGGTACGGTGTTATATAAGCCGTGCTTCTACACAGAAGCCTACTGTTTCGGCCGGGAGCAGACTTTCCCCCCCGCACATTGGCGAAGCACTGCGGCGGGTGAGCGTGATCATCATCATCACCAAATTTTTTAAAAATCGATTATATATACCGTAGGGTTAAAAGGGCACAAAACATTTGCATGGGAATGCATAGGGGTCCTTACTGGAGTTATTTTAGTGACACTGTATCTCATGTCATGCACTTCAGGTATACGCGCTAAGGATTATATTTTGTATACAAGTATTTAATGTTTTATCAGATATTTAATGTGATGATTTTCGCCGAGTTTGATTATAATGTATTAATGGCAGTGTCACCGTCTGACTGCAGGCAGAATGTCAGAGCTCCATTCTGCACACGCTTTCTACAACCACATCTTCGACCCAGACCTACTAACGGTGATACTGGTCTTCTTAGTCCTGGCTTCTGCTTTCGTTATTATCGCACCTGGGATTCGGGGAAAGTTGGTAAGTAACACGTTGTGATTCACATCGTCAGAAAGCGTTGTTGAATGTTAAGGTAGGTGCGGTGATTGGTTAATTTTATAAATGAAGGTAGGCCTGTTGAAAAATGTGTGGTTATCCTTACGACTTACAGGGTTTTATGTCGGTCGATCATATGCATCGTTGACTGCTTCTCGCTCGTTCTAATAACCCGTCCTTTTTACGTTTCAGAGGATATTCTGGATGAGCAGAATAATTCTTAGTTTATTCATAGGCGCGGTGATAATTGGTAAGTTGCCATGAATTTAAAATGTTTTCCTATTAAAAAGTTAAATATCCAATGCATACCCTGACTTGCGCTGTTTCTCTCTGAATGATGCCTGACAATCGACATAATCGGGTAAAGTGACACTGCAGGCTGTCCCGGAGGCCGAGGAGGGGCGGATCAGATGGCAATTGGCCGCGGCCGGTACCGGATTCCGGCCTGAGGCCCCGAGCACGTACATGGCATCACAAAACGCAGAGAATATGAGAAAATGCCATTAATAACATGAACACGCATCTCTCACGGCAGCACCACAATTTAAAGTTAACAGTCTACTACATGTCGTATTGTTATACGAGGCTGTCCCGTAATTTCCTACACATTGTTTCATACATACATCAGATCAGGGGTTCCAAATAGGCTAATCGAAATACAATTTAATCCGGGCGGCGATCGATCCCCGCAAATTTAATCGTGGAGTCCCTTATTTCAGATTGAAAACAGTAACCATAATAATAGTCTTATCTGTTGAGTCCGATACAAAACAATTACTTTGGTTAATAACTGATCTCACACAGTTACAGTTTCAAGGCTCGTGATTATATTGATATAGGGCTAGTGGCATGTGAGTGTCGTCTTACTTCGCAACGAATGTGGAAGGCCTTAACAATCGATCTTCGCCTCGCACCATCTATCTCGTCCTTTGCTTTTGCGCAGCTCTGCAGTTTTCCCGGGACTGGGCCTCCGCGGGGGTGGAAGCCAACGTCACCTACAAGTCATTCAGCAGCGCCGTGGTGCGCGCGGAGCTCGGGCTGCACGTGGGGCTGTCGGGGATCGACGTCACGCTCAGAGGTGCGGGCCGCGGCGGACATGTTTGTCAGGGGAAATGTTTCATAAGCGTTTTGCATTGAATTAATAGAACATATTTTAATATAAACATTTTAAGGCCCGTGCTGCAACATAAGATTTATGATTCGGTAATATGAGCTCAATTGTCTATTGTCAGGCAGTGGTGGTATTCTTATTAAGCCTGGTAATTACAAATAATACAGTGATGAGATCAAGAAGCTGAAAACTGACCAAATAACTGCCAGTTCAATTAAATCACTGGCACTTTACAAGCCTACATTTTACTTATGGCTAAGGAAAAAAATCAAAACAAATGATTTCCAATTAGCTAGGAGACCTTGCATGCAGACGCGTCTCATGGGCTCAGTGCCGTCCGTACAGGAAACCCAGTGGTGCAGCGAAACGAGACCATCAACTACAACGTGGCGTTTCACTGGACGGACAGCTTAGAGCAGGACTACGCTGAGGCACTGGAAAGGGGCCTACCCAGTCCCATCCTCTATGTCGCTGAGAAGTTCAGCCCTGGCAGTCCCTGTGGCCTTCTCTACCAGTACCGATTCTCTGGCCGATATGCTTCTGCCACCATGTGGTAAGGCGTTGTTAAAGCAATCATCCTGATAAGCATCCGTGTTGTTATTTTTAAATATGTCTTCATATTAGATGTTATTAAAATCGATGTCGACTGATGAAATACCTTAAATAAAAGCATAACTGCATCTCTTAAATTGGGAGGTTGAACAAAATGCAGATTTGAAAGCGGCCATCTTGCCGCCTGGCTCCGGTAGTCGTGGGGCCGCAGAGACTCGCTTGTGAGCCTCTCTTTCGCATGGAGTACGGAGGCTCCGCACGGTCCTGTTCTGCCTCCGCAGGACGGCCTTCTGCTGCTGGCTGCTGGCCAACATCCTGTTTTCCATGCCCGTGCTGCTCTACGCAGGCTGCGTGACGGTGACCGCGGGACTCTTCATGTTTCTCTCCCTGGCCTCGTTCGCTGCCACGCGCAGCCTGCCGCCGTGCGTTTTCGCCGTGGGCTCGGCCTCTTTCCAGACCCGCCTTGGCTGCTCCTTCTGGCTGGCCCTGGGCACAGGTACGATCCGCCTGTGACCACGTCAGACTGAGAGGGGACCAGGACATCTGAGGGCAACTGTGCAGTTGGGTTATGCTGTGTGTTAGCAGCATTCCTGAGGCGTGTAGTTTGTGTCTGAGGTGCAGAACATCTGCAGACCTCTTCATACGTTGCTTATGTACTGATAAAATACGATGGCATGTGTCCTCACACTCGGGCAGGTGTGCTGTGCACTGTTGTTGGAGCCCTGGTGGTGATTCTGGACTACATGTTGCCCAAAAAAATGAGGAAGGTCTTCAGTCTGGCCATGGATGAGGACGAGGATGAGGGGGACGTCATCTCCGGGGCAGGCGGGTATCTCAACAGCACCTTCCTCAGGTCCTCACCCCCGCTGGAGATCCTCTCCTTTACTGTAAGTTCAGCTAAATTCAGCAGAAAGTCCAAAATGAATGATAAAACTGGTAAAATCACAGAAGGATGTGTTAAATAATTAAGGGGGGGATGTTGGTGGTGAATGGGGATGGCACACCTCTGGGACCAGGGTTTGAGTCTCCACCATGGCTCCATGTTCTCCTTGTGGGGTTTCCTCTGGGTACTATGGCCTCCTCCCACAGTCCAAAAATGTGCTGAGGTGAATTGGAGTTGGCAAATTGCCCATAGGTGTGTCTGGTGTGGGCTGGAGCCCCATCCTGGGTTGTTCCCTGCCTTGCCTCCATAGACTCCGTACCCCCCGTGACCCTGAATAGGATAAGCGCTTACAGAACATGGATGGATGGATGTTGGTGATGGACTTGTGGCTGGATTACATTGTGCTGGAGCATCACTTTCTGAAATGTTCTCTCCATTTCTGAAAACATAAGACAGTGTCTCTGCCCCAGTCCTGACTCACTGAGAATAGGTGTGGCGTTAGTGCTTGTGTGACTGATCACTACTGAGAGAGGGTGTGGCGTTAGTGCCTGTGCGACTGATCACTACTGAGAGAGGGTGTGGCATTACTGCTTGTGCGACAGATCACTACTGAGAATGGGTGTGGCATTACTGCTTGTGCGACAGATCACTACTGAGAATGGGTGTGGCATTAGTGCTTGTGTGACTGATCACTACTGAGAGGGGGTGTGGTATTACTGCTTATGCGACTGATCACTACTGAGAGAGGGTGTGGCATTAGTGTTCACGCGACTGATCACTACTGAGAATAGGTGTGGCATTACTGCTTGTGCGACTGATCACTACTGAGAGAGGGTGTGACGTTAGTGCTTACCTGACTGATCACTACTGAGAATAACACTACTGAAGGAACAAAGCTTTCTGCCTTTTAGTCCTGGTGGGAGCCAAGGTCCATATGGGCTGGGGCTCAGTACCATTTAGGAATGTCAGACTATTACATTGCCTGGCAGATCAGGGGGGATATGAAGCTTCTGAGCCTGATACAGAAATACACGAAAGCAAAACAAGGAGAAAATGCCATCTGTGATGTTACAGATAGCGCTGTGTTTTACCCAGGGCAGCGGGAAAACCTGGGAGGCAGTCAAGCCCTTCTTCTAAGACTTCATGGAGAAGAAAGAAAATCATCATTTGGGCTGGTTCAACAACTCAGGCTATATCAATATGAATGTAAATAAGGTGTACATATATGTCTGTTCTGTGTTATGGGAAAAAAACTAGCAGACATTAAAAAAAATAATGAATGACTCACATACTTGTGTATACACACTTACACATTTCCTCTGTCCATTTAATGAATCCTGTATACATAAAAACCAATACAGCACTGTAACATACACCGATACTTACAAAGTGAGTAGTTGACAGCCCCACACATACACCCACATACATATCTTCAGTCCAAATGCGGTTCCAGCAGTAACGCACAAAGCGTGCAGCACTCCCAGCACACGGCATGGAGATCAGCCACCTGGCACCCAGCGCCAAAATGCAGGAGATGGCAACGACGCGGCCGGCTTCTCAGCTCGAAGGTAAGCGTGTTTACTGTGTTGTTCTTCCAGGAGGACGTCAGCGGCATGCAAACGGATAAAGCGTCACGGTGCCCGGGTCCCCACTCGGGGAGATCCTGGTACATTTTGAAAGCAGCTCTGGGCAGTGAGGCTTCCAGCTTCACAGTGCAGCTTCAGTCAGTATCACCAGAGCCCTGCTGAGCAGGATGAAGACGTGAAGGAGACTCCCCTGCGAGCGCCGTCCTAGACACGGTCTACGATTGGCTCACGTGGATGACGCAGCTACCTAGAGTTTAATCACAGTACATACAGTCCACCCAGAACAAACCTACCATAGACAGTGCAGGTCTTGTGTCTCAGAAGAAAAAAAAATGAAGTTCATATTGTCATACAAAGTTTAGATTTATCATTAATGATTGAATTTCAGTTTGGCCGATGGATTTTGTGTGGGTTTTTAAAACCCAGAGTTGAACATGGAGAACAATCCAGTCCCATATGTTCTGCTAACATACAGTCATTAAAAAAGCCTTATTTTTTCTCTTTTGACTTGATATCCAAAAAAGCTCCCAGCTCTGGTCCAGAGCCCTGGGTGCTGTCACGACACTTCCTGGCTTTGCTGTGTGCATCTCGGACCCAGACCCAACCTTCTGTCCTCACTGCGCTGAAGGCACGTGTCGGCCTTTCCTGCACATCACTGTGTTGTCATGACAACTTCAGTCACCTAAAAAGTTATTTCCCTCAGCGTTCTCCCGAACCATTCCAATGATTTTGCGGCTATTGTCATTTCCTACCGATTCCTACCTCTGCCCGAAGATGCGATATTCGTTAGGTTCCCAAACCAATCTGTCCCTCTTTTCTCTCACACTGGAGATAAAAAAAAAATCTCATCTGTACCACAAAGACTTAAGACGGTACAAGTCATACATTTTGCCTTTCCCACAAAAAAATCTACTGGGTGAAAAAGGGGGTTATCTGTATTTACAGAGGAAAAAGGGAGAGATAAACTATAATATATACAGTATATAACAAATACATAACCATGTGCATATAAAAAATAAATGTGTTCAGTCACATTTCCCAAATGGTCTTATTGCACATGAATCCCACAAACCAACAGCACAATTAACAGATCACATCTATGTCAACTGGGGAAAATGTCGCCTGTCTTATGTTCCGCCACACGTAGTTGTCAGTGTAGGGTGTCACATTTTAAAGGGCATGAAATGGGAGAACAAACTAAATTGGCAGAGATGGGGGCGTTGGCGCCCCCTGGTGGTTATGTATGCAGCATCAGCTTGCTTTACAGGAGGAGTAATCGGCAGGTGCTTGTGGCTCATATAGTGAAGGACATAAGGTCCTAGATGTACATGGGGGTGTCCTGGCCGGTGAGCAGGCGGAACATGGCAGCCGGCATGGTCTTCATGTGGATCTGGCGGGGAGACAGAGAGAGACATCAGGCTTGAGGATTTCGTGCCTCTTATAAACACCCACACTGCCTCCGCTGCATGCAGTATAAAAATGATGGAGGAACTCAAAGAGCAGATTGGCTGCTCGAACCCCTAAAAGAAATGGGGTCCTATTCAGGGGTTGAACTTAATTCAATTAATTTTTGCTATTAGCCAATGGGGCTGGTCTAGAAAAAATGTATTCTGACATGCAATTGTTTAACTAGCCAACGGCAGAATGTACTCGCCCTCGGTCTAAATGCCTGGCCTCGGGGGGGGGGGGGCGAGCTTAATTCCCTGCCCTGCTCTTATACCTGTGACGCATCTGGCTGACTAAAGGACTGTACTAGCTGCAGTGGACTGGTCACATGACTGCGGTGTCCCTCACATGTGACTCTCACCTCACCCACGGAGTTGGACAAGGCCTGGACGATCTTCTCATGGGCGGTGGCCACTGCGCTCTGCCCGTTGATCTCGATGATGCGGTGTCCAACGCGGACCCCACCACGCTCTGCGATGCCGCCTCTCATCAGACTGCAGATCTGTGTTGGGGGGGGGTGACCGTTTTATTCATTATGTTGTGTTTTTTTGGTCCAGCCCACAGCGCATACACCGTAAAATGCTTCAGGTTAAATGTTAGAAATTAGAATTACAAAGAACACCAGTTGCACAAAGACAAACTTTACCTCATATTACTTCAAAGGAAAAATAAGGTTACCACATGCTAAATGCTGAAAGCAGTTAAAGCTTTTATCTTTTATGTGAACAGAGGAAGATCCAAATATATTACTAATCATTACACTGATGTTCTCTTCCCAAATACCAAACAGCATAAAGGAAAGATCTTTGAAATTTTGACTTGCATATCTAGTATTTACTGTAGATCGACCACACGGGGGCGCTTAACATTCAAATGCTATCTTATAGGATGTGGGCTGCTTCTGCAAACTCACGATGCCGTTCTGCACACTGAAGCCAAGCTGGTACTTGAGGTCAGGCCTCTTGATGAGCACTGTGGTGACAGGCGGGCAGCTCACGATGTTCAGCTTCACCTGTGTCTGGTTCTTTAAGCCCTAATCCAGCAGTAGAAGGTAAAAAAATATGTATATATCAAGAATAGTAACGGGAAGTTTGGCCAAACATCTGACGTGGTCTTAGGACCCAGTGACAACCTTCAGAGGTCATTCAGTCCAGCTTCAATCAAGAATTGTAATCAGCTGACAGTGAATGATCAGGTTCCATCCATATGGCTACTTGGGTGCATAGACAATTAATAATTAGCACTAGCATGAAGCTAATCAGGCCCACGGAGTGTGTTCAATCTCCTGCAGTCTCAATAGAAACCCATTGGACTGTCCTGTGTGTTTGTGGGAGTGACAGAGCCGCAGGATCAAACTGGGGGAAACTGCCTTCATCCCCTTTGAACTCGAAAACCAGGCTTTACACCTGTGAAACATCAACATTAAGTAAGAACGCGATGCAGAAGCAGGCAGCGGCGCACCTTGATGATGCTCTGGCAGGTGGCGAGCGGGAGGCCCACCAGGCTGGTCTTGTTGACGGACATGATCTGGTCGCCGATGCTGAGCTTGCCGGAGCGGGCGGCCGGGCCACCGTTCATCATGTTGGCCAGGATGACAGTGGGCAGGATCGAGCCCCAGCCTGATTCCACGATCACCACGCCCAGGATCTCACCCTTCTGCTTCTCCAACTCCAGCTGGGGGGGGGATTAAAGAGGAGAGAGGGACAGACTGGTAGAACATAAGACCGAGAGGAAAACTGAGCAAGGAAGAGAAGACAATGAGATGAGAGAAAGTGGGGGGAGGGGGTGTACCAGGTTTTGGGGGCAGGATGAGGGAGAGGAAGGGTCCCCAGGGTAAGAACGAAGAAAGACGTGCTCTCCCTGCAACGGGGAGCTGCCCCCCGGCCCCATAACAACATTTGACGACCACTGCCAATCAAACTGATCACCCAAATTTCTGGGCAGGGGTTTCCATGATGCCTGGAGTCTCTGGGGTTCGCAGTCTGTTACAGCCGCACCGCTCAGATGGAGCCCAATTTCGGCACAGAACGGCTGACGTCAGCAGGCACCGTCAGAAATGGAGCCCTGCCAATGCTGGGGAAGGAGCAGACGGGGAGGGGTGCGGGGCGAACCTCTTTGCAGTTCTCAGAGTTGGAGAAGTGGATGAGGTCGTCGTTGTACATCTCCTGTGTGTTGATGATGTCGCTGTACTCCTTCTGGCTCAGGTCCTCGGGGTTGATGCCATTGGCCCGCAGGAACTCCTGGTAGGCCACACTGAACGCCTGTCCGATGGACTGCGCAATGAGCTGTGCCTGGGGGCGGGGAGAGATGAGTGGGAGGGGTTCGCGGCAAAGGCCGGCTCTGATGGGGGAGACGGCATGGTGCAGGGCTGCACAAGCCAGCTGAAACAGCACGCTATGGCCACATATATATATACCGAAACACACCGAACGCACAGCCGCAGAAATATGTGTGGCAGGTGACGCACAGATCAGACAGGCAAAGGCAAGATCCTGCCTGTGTCTTTGAAGCTCTTGTAGCTCAACAAGTAGAGCATCACACTAACAATGACTTTAGGTTGAGGGTTCAAATCCCAGAAAGTGTGTATAAATTGTAACCCTGCATTGTAAGTCGCTTTTGATAAAAGCATCTGATAAATGAGTAAATGCAATTAAATGAATGGACTCCATAACCCAGTAATTCAGACACCATTCACAGAGCAATGATTCCCTCTTAATTAAAGTGCAGGTCCAGCCCCAGCCCAAGAGCATAACTCCAGAAAAGTGGGATGTACTGACGTCCTCCGACTCAAAGACGTGGCAGACCATCTTGTACTGCTTCTTGGTGTCGCCGGTGCCGGGCGCGGCCTCCGAGCGGCTCTGTGAGGTGCGCCGCCGTGCCATGAGCACCACGATGCTGCCGATGTCGGCGATGTAGGAGATGGTGCGCAGCGCATTGTCCATCATGGTCTCCTGGGTGACGGAGGGCACAGGATCCATCATCCAGCTCCGATAACGGTCTAGCTGTTGTAAGGTCTGCTTAGCTCTGTCCTTCGTTTTTTATTCTATTATTTCTATTACTTTATACTCAATATATGGCCTTGCAATGTCTGCATAGTGAAATGGCATCCATCCATCCATGCATCTCTCCATCCATCCATAGAGAGTGTTTTTCTAGGGAATATTTCACCGTTGATATTAGGTTATCAGACCAAGAAATCCATAAGCAAGCAGCCGATACGGGACATGTCACCCTGTCTCTCTCACCTGCGTGTCAGCATTGATCACTTTGATTCTCTGTGTGGAAATAAACAGGTCCACTTCTGTCAGGGTGGCGTGGCCGTCTCCCTCCGGACTCTACAGGGGGAGAGAAAGAAATATCAGGGGGGGGCGCAAAGGCAGCAGCCACCCAATTTCTGTGACGCCAGAGTCTGCTTCCCCTGTCTGCTTCTCAGTGATGTCTAGATGGTTGTGTTGTGGCTTAATAACATTCCTTACTCACGTCTGTTCTTTCAACAAAGCACATTTATCCAATGAAATCATTATATCCAAAACGAAGTGCGTGAGGCAAACAGAATTTACTCCTTTTCAAATAATACTTTCTTTCATATAAAAAATGCATATACACACACACACACAAATGGGCAAATTAAAACATGCTCTAAATATTGCAACAAAATGCAATAAAATGCAGTAAAATAAATCATTATTTTGCAAACCACACAAAATGTATCCATCCTTTACCAACCAGCCATCCCAAACGAAATCCCTCCCTGCTATACAAGGTGTAGCTGACAAACTGTGCCGCCCTTAAAGGAGCAGCATCCTATCACCATAAATCAACACAGACCAGACATACACACCTCTGCACATTCAGCTTTATTTATAATGCAGGTGAAGGTATCGCCCCGACAGCCGTATCCATTCTGCTTTGCTCACATCATCTCCCGAATCACACGTGTGGCATCGCTGCTGTCCTTCACTGTGCTCGTACTGGCCCGGCCCACCCCCGGGGTCTGATATCCAACCAAACTCCAGCCAAACAGTAAGAGAAATGACACAAGGCGACGTCCCCCTGCACGGCGGGCCCCCCTCTGCCTTTCGGGGGGCCCAGGTGAGGCTAGCCTCTCCGCACTGTCTCTTGAGGCTGGCCTCGCCGCACTGCCTCTAGCAGTTGAGGAAGCAGTACCTGGACAACAGCTTGAAATGGCAGGAGCGGCGTTCACAGGCTTACAGGCCTCGGAGACACCGGTTGGTCCCCAGCAGCGAGTGGGGGGGGGGGGGGGATACATTAGGCTGATCGATGACAGAGATCTGCTGGTTGAACCCATTAAATATTCCCTCCGTGAGTCAGTGATTCAGAGACTGACATGTGCCAGTCTGTGGGGTTGGGGGGCCGCATGGCAAAGCCTCCTGGGGACTGTAGCACAATCCACTTCCCAGGACAATATGGATTATACCTGAACTTAAATCACCTGAACGCGAACTCATGAGAGCATTGAGAGCCGGGGGGGGTTAGGGAGCACACAGGGACACGGGAACGGCTGCGGTGAAGCATACCCGTTCTATACCGCTGCTGTGAAGCATACCCGTTCTATACCGCTGCTGTGAAGCATACCCGTTCTATACCGCTGCTGTGAAGCA